ACAATTATGGAGAGAGTCAGATGTATGCTTGATGACGCAAAGTTTCCTAGTTCTTTTTGGGCAGAGGCAGTTTCCACAGCAGTTCATGTTATCAACTTATCTCCCGTTATTGCTTTGAATAATGAAGTTCCTGATAAGGTTTGGTGTGGAAAGGAAGTTTCTTATGATCATCTCAGAGTCTTCGGTTGTAAGGCATTTGTGCATGTCCCAAGAGATGAAAGATCTAAGTTGGATTCGAAGACTAGACAGTGCATTTTCATTGGTTATGGTCTTGATGAATTTGGCTACAAGTTGTATGATCCAGTTGAGAAGAAGCTTGTGAGAAGCCGTGATGTAGTGTTCTTTGAATATCAAACCATTGAAGATGTTGACAAAGTGAGAAAGCCAGAATCTCAAGATAGCGGAAGTTTGGTTGACTGTGAGCCAGTTTCCAGCAAAGATACACATGATGGTGATGAGGTTCAAGAGAATGGCCAGAACGGTGATCTTGTACCAGACAATCAGGATGATACAGCTGATGTGGATGGTCATGTTGATGATGTTGTGCACCAGGAACAAGAAGTTCCTTCTCAGGTTCCAGTTGATCCTCCTAGAAGGTCTAACAGGGAACGGAGACCATCTACTCGTTACTCTTCCAGTCAGTATGTGCTATTGACTGATGGGGGAGAACCTGAGTTCTATGAAGAAGCTATGGAGAGTGAGCAAAAGAGACAATGGCTTGAGGCTATGCAAGATGAGATGAATTCCCTATATGCAAATGATACCTTTGAGTTGGTAAGGGCACCAAAGAACAGGAAAACTTTGAAGAACAGGTGGGTCTACAGATTGAAACATGAAGAGGGCACTTCAGTTCCACGATTCAAAGCTCGACTGGTAGTGAAAGGTTTTAGCCAGAAAAAAGGTATTGATTTTGATGAAATTTTCTCTCCTATTGTGAAATTTTCATCCATTAGAGTTGTGTTGGGTCTAGCAGCTCGTTTGGATTTAGAAATTGAGCAGATGGATGTAAACACAGCTTTTCTCCATGGTGATTTGGATGAGGAGATATATATGGAGCAACCTGAGGGATTCGAAGTCAAAGGGAAAGAGGATTATGTTTGCAGGTTAAAGAAGAGTTTGTATGGATTGAAGAAAGCTCCGAGGCAGTGGTATAAAAAGTTTACTTCCGTTATGAGTAAGCATGGGTACAAGAAGACTTTTTCAGACCACTGTGTTTTTGTAAACAGATTCTCTGATGATGACTTTGTTATATTGTTGCTTTATGTTGATTGTTGGTCGAAATGTTTCAAGAATTCAACAGTTGAAACAAGAGTTGAGTAAGTCATTTTCTATGAAGGACATGGGACCAGCAAAGCAAATTCTTGGGATGAAGATCATTCGTGACAGGCAAAACAAGAAGTTGTGGTTATCTCAAGAGAAGTATATAGAGAAAGTACTTGAGAGATTTAGTATGGATAAAGCTAAGCCAGTGAATACACCTCTTGGTATGCATTTCAAGTTAAGTAAGAAGCAATGTGCCTCTAGTGAGAAAGAGAATGAAGAAATGCAAAGAGTTCCCTATTCTTCAGCTGTTAGTAGTTTGATGTATGCCATGGTATGTACGAGACCAGATATTGCTCATGCAGTGGGTGTTGTTAGCAGATTTCTCTCAAATCCAGGTAGAGAACATTGGGATGCTGTGAAGTGGGTTCTGAGATATCTTCGGGGTACTTCAAGTCTGAGTTTGTGTTTTGGTACAGTGAAACCTATTCTTGCTGGGTACACTGATTCAGATATGGCCGGGGACATTGACACCAGAAAATCTACTTCAGGTTATCTAATTAAGGAGTGAAAGTATGGATATTAAACACTCATGAACTCCTACACATTTAAACTTTTGTTTGTCCTCAAGCAAAAGGAAACAAATCAATGCAAAATCTAGCAAATGATTACCAAAAAATTTTACCAACGAAAGTTCAAAGATAGCAAGCAAGCATTCAACTAATTAAAGAATCAATTGACTTCTCCAGCACCTTAAGTTAATCCATAACTTGAGTGCATATAGATAACCCTTTTTTAACCAAAAACTACAAATAATTTGACATACTCTCTCAAAGAAAAATTCATACCCTCATAATTTTTAATTTTTTTTAGCTCTTCACCACACAACCTAAGCACAAAACAATGTCAAAAGGACTTGAAAGGGTAAAGCATGGAAAACTGTGAAAAGTAGACCAAAACAAGACGGCAAAAGTGATTCACAAGTCCATATCAACCAAAGATTACTCATTTCCCAAAGTCCTTTTATTCATTGGAAACACAAAATGTGATATAGCCCTCACTTTCACTCAATGCAAGGCTTTTCAACACTCTTAACTTTTTTGGCAACTTCAAAAGCTTCTCCTCAGAGATATGAATACCCATCAAAGATTTAGTTATAGATTTGGAAATAATTCAAACTCCGCTCCTGCGGAGTTGGTCACACCCTCTCTTTTTTACCTCATAAGCAAGGGAATTGCAAAGACTTTTTTTTTATTTTATTTTATCTTTTAGAATTTTCTCTTTCGTTGCAGGGAGGGGATTAAATTAAACCTCACAAACCTTTCCTTTTGCTTTATGTCACATTTTTGTTCACTTAGGTCTTTAACATCTTAATTTCACTCTGAAACATGTAATATATTTTAGTAACATAAATATAAGCCTAATCTAAATTAAAAATATGAAAGTAAGTGAACGAAATCAATTAGGATTCGTCTATGGGTTAGAACCTAATAGTGACTAAAAACAAGCTTAAATGGTAAACATGGGGCTGCCACACGGGCTGGGACACGAACATGTAGGCGCCCATGTAGAAAGCAAAAAGAAAACCACTTTGGAAAACAGTGGTAGATGGGCAACTCCGCGCCCGTCACAACCACCCTCTCTTTGTGCAATTTTACATTTTTATGACAAAATGACTTCCTTGATATTTTTGACCATTTTAACCTCCAAATTAGGCTTGATGTTCTTCACATAAGTTGTAGCATGTGAGTTTTCTTTCCAATGGTGCAAGAATCGCTTGTTTTGGACATTTCTACATCGAGATATGGTCAAAAAATTGAGCAGTGGACAAGCTATGCGAGAATTGCAATACCTTGATCTTTTGCTCAACATTTGTCTTAGTTTGTCCAAATGATCAAAACCATTATATGTTAACTACAGACACATAATATGTTAACTGCAAAAATATAATATGTCGTTAACATATTATGTATGTGTCTATAATTAACAAATTATATACCTTCAATTTATTTATGTCACACGATTTACTAACCAAATACACACAATATGTTAACTTCATACACATGATTTTCAGACCAGGGTCCACAATGTAAGGTAGACCCTGATCCATGGTATAACAATCGATTATTTGTTTCACAAGCCATGTGGAACAAAATATTCATAGAGTTTAAATGTAACCTAATATTTAGTATTTTTTTTAATAAATTTGTAAAAAAAATAGATATATTAAGAAATTTATTACGATATAAAGTATTTGTTTATGAAAATAAATAAATAAATAAATAAATAATAATAATAATAATAATAATAAAAGTTATTATAATTATTATAGGAAAAATTAAACTTTTCGTCCCTAAGTTATATGGTAATTGTATGATTCATCCCTACTTGTTGATTGTGCTCACTTCTCGTTCCAAAGCTATAACTGACGTTGTAAATTTCATCCTTTTACTAACAAGTTGTGTTCACTTCTCGTCCTTAAGCTGTAACTAACGTTGCAAATTTTGTCCCTAATGTTTTGTTAGAAAAGAGACAAAATTTACAATATCGGATGAGAAGTGAGCATTGCAACAAGTAGGGACGAATCCTACAATTACCCTATAACTTAGGGACATAAATTTTCCCATTATCATATTATAGTGTAAATATAGTAATTATTTTTAGTTGATAGTACTCCGTAAGTTGAAGTTTGGAAATGAAAGTTTAGATTGATTGAATGATGTATAAGTTTATATTTATTAGTGTAAATGTGCTAATTTATTAAAATTGAAAGTTTATAATTTTAATTTAAAAATATTAACAGTTTTAGTTAATTAATTAAGCCAGCCTAATAAGTCTGATAATCTAAAATTTTAAGATTATGATAAAAAAAAAAAAATTAAACTTGACCAAAAACATAGATAAGCCCCAATCAATAAGAAGATTGACAATCTGATAGAGTACGAGGTGGTCTAATTGACAACTCTAATCATAAATGGTTCTGTATATATTATATTATTGCAGAGGATCGTCCAAGTAAGTTGTCACATCTTCTTGCATTAGATGGTGCCAACGAAAGATTGCATTTGTTTGAAGCCGCCTTACTTGAGGAAATCTCATTTGGATGTGAAGGTGTTTTTCACACAACATCATCTGTAGATTTATCACCATCAGCAACTAAAGTCAATTAACCCTTTTGTTTTTCTTATGTTAATACCCCTTTGTTTGTTTTACTTTTTTCTTCTTTCTTTCTTTCTAATTCATATACATTTTAGGTAGGATTACTGGATCCAGCAGTAAAGGAGACACTAAATGTTCTTGGATCATGTATGATCGAGAACACCTTCTATGAGAAGGGTAGTGGTGACGTTGACGTCCTCAACAACTTATATAACAGAAGAGTCAGGTTCTCGTACGGATAGTACTTCTCATGTGACCGTGCAGTCACTCACCATTATGTACGCATAAATGCACCATAAAGTGTTTTGAAATGCGCCATTAGATGTGGTTCGTTGTGATGCATTTTTTATGTGGTGCATTAGTACATTTCTGAACACTGTGTGGTGCATTGTTTCATACCTAATGGTGGGGCGTACCAACCGCACGAGAAACACGCATTTGAACTAATATCTAAAACGGAGTACTTTTTTATTAGTATTATTAATTTGACCCCCCTATATATGTGGTGGTGCTCACCTGCCCTGCCAGACATGGCCAGAGCTGGGACTGCTTCATCAATCAATTATTTCTACTGTGACCACACTTAGCTTCCACCGTACAATTTATATCATAATGCGGTGTGAGAATATAAACTAAAAAACCAAACGTAAATATATAAGTTGAAAAAGGATGAGCGGAGAGGGAAAGGCGGTATGTGTGACGGGTGCTTCCGGCTTTATAGCTTCTTGGCTCGTCAAGCTTTTGCTCCAACGTGGTTACACCGTCCACGCCACCCTTCGCAATCTCAGTCAGTCTCTCTCTCTCTCTCTTTCTCTCTTTCAATTCAATTGATGGAATTCCCATTTCTGGAATCACGTACTAATGTATAGGCAAATTATATCGTGCACTGCGGCGCATAATCGATTATGTACCGAACTTTAAAACGACGTCGTTTTGTTTAATGAAAAGAAACGGCACCCGTTTTGCGCCTTTCCGCAAAAATTAAATAACTCTGTTAATTCATTTTCATTTTGTATACACTGCCGTTTCGATCGATCAGTTCAACACAACTATAGTTTAATTTTGATATAACTACAGCTTCATTCGATATTTATACACTCAAATATGTAAAAATATTATTTTATTTTATTTTATATGCACTATAGTTTCATTAAAACACAAAACTATATGATCTTTTCGATATAATTAACTACAGCTTCATTGCACAATATACACTCAAATATATAAAATGTTATTCAGTTTCATTTTATATACACTGCAGTTTCATTTCACCACAACTACAGTATCATTTTGATATAATAGCAGTTTCATTTGATAATATAAAAAATAGTACGTGAGGTAGTGTCGGTTTAGATACACTGTAATGTCAATTCAGATACATTGTAGTTTCAATTGGTAATTAACACACCAAAAAATGCACATTCCATTAACAGTAACGGCTTAAAGAAACAGCATCGTTTTGACCGCGGTGCACGTACACCGCGGTCCACTGTATAACGACGGACTAATGTATGTATAGTATTTCTTCACCTTCCATTATGGTTTTATATATATATATATATATATATATATATATATATATATATATATATATATATATATATATATTTTTTTTTTTTTTTTTTTTCTTTTTCAAAAAAAAATATTATTACAGTATTATTATTATTATTATTATTATTACTATTATTATTATTATTATTATCATTATCATTATTATTATCATTATCATTATCATTATCACTACAGAGAATCCAAATAAGGTGTCACATCTTCTTGCATTGGATGGTGCCAAGGAAAGACTGCATTTGTTTGAAGCCCACTTACTTGACCAAAATTCTTTTGATCCTGCAATTCAGGGATGTGAAGGGGTTTTTCACACAGCATCTCCTGTAATTACTACACCATCAGCGACTAAGGTTAAACTTTCTGTTTCTCTGTGTTTTAATCTTTGTTGAAGAAAACATACTTGTGGGTTTTTTTTTTTTTTTTAATTTAATTTCTACCTCATATACATTTTAGGCAGAACTAGTGGATCCTGCAGTAAAGGGGACACTAAATGTTCTTGAATCATGTGTAAGAATACCTTCTGTGAAAAAGGTAGTGGTGACGTCTTCAATGGCTTCTATTATGTGCAAACGAAATCCTATTAGTCCAACTGATGTAGTTGATGAGACTTGGTATACAGATAAAGAATTTGCAGAAGAAGCAAAGGTAATGTGTATATATATATATATATATATATATATATATATATATATATATATATATACATATATATATATATACATATATATATATATACATATATATACATATATATATATACATATATATATATATATATACATATATATATATATATATTTGATAAGAGATTCACACAACCTGATTATAATCAAAACACTTTAATTTGTGCTAATTTATGTGACTTTTTTTTCTTTATAGCAATGGTATTTCTTGTCTAAAGTCCTTGCAGAGGAAGCTGGATGGAAGTATGCAGTGGAGAACCGGATTGACTTGGTTTCTTTACATCCTGCTCTGGTTATTGGCCCTCTTCTCCAACCCACTCTTAATTTTTCAAGTGGAGTCATTTTAGATCTCGTAAAAGAAGGTAATATTTCTTCGAAAAATGAGTCAAATTAATTTAAGTAGTCCTTAAAAATTGATAATGCTTTTCCATTATTATTATTATTATTATTATTATTATTATTATTATTATTATTATTATTATTATTATTATTATTAAATTGATGAATGTTATGTCACACAGGTAAGAAAGCATTACCTACTGGAATCTATCCTTTTGTTGATGTTAGAGATGTCGCAAATACACATATCCAAGCATTTGAATTACCTTCTGCTAGTGGAAGATACTGTTTGGTTGGGATAACAATTTACTCTTCCCAAATTTTGAAGATTGCAAGTGGGCTTTTCCCTTCTCTTTCCATTTCTGACAAGTAAGATTTTTAGCTAAAGATATTATTATTATTTTTTATATGAATGTTCTTGGCTGGAAAAGAATAAATTAAAAACAAATTATGAAAATATACGTTTTAAGAGCAACTCCAAGGAGACACCATTCCGCCAAATATCAACGCCATTGCACCATCCCCTCATTTTTTGGAACTCCAACCCACGGCAAATCGCCAAATAATTTGGCGATGATGAACAGTGTTGCGCCATATTTGGCCCGCAGCACTGTTCATCCACGGCATTTTCTTGGAAAAAATTTAATTCCTGTTTTGCCCTTACTTTTATTTGTTAATTCCTTTTGTATTCTTTATTTTGTTTTTATCTATTTATATATTTTGTTAAATACTTAAATATAAATATTATATTATTATAAATAAATTATATCATTTGAAAGATATTATCAAGACGATTAAAACGAGACTAATATTGAATATATATTAATTAAAAATTAAATAAATCAAACATAATAACATCATAAAAATAATGTTACTAATTTTTTTTTTTTACATCACAAATTATTATATTTTATATTAAACTAATTAAATTCGAATTAATAAAATTTTAAAATTAGAGAAACCATATTATTTTAGTGTAGAATAACATTTGATGTAAAAATTTGGTGTTTTGGTGTAATGGGTTGGAGATGAATACAATTTGGTGTAGAGAATATTTTCTTTGATGTGACATTTAGTAGAGATTTTTGGTGTTAAATGGGTTGAAAATACTCTAAAAAAACTTATTTTGTTGTAATAGATATAAAGATGACTTGCCTACAGTAGCAACCTATCAAGTATGTCAGGAAAAGGCAAAAAGCTTGGGGATCAACTACACTTCTTTTGATGTGAGCCTTAAGGATACTATTGAAAGTTTAAAAGAAAAACACTTCCTCGACTTCTAATTCGTGAGCTTCTTCTCACTCACGTGGAGCCATTGAGAGATGCACGTTTTAAGTGTTTAGTCTTTGTGGAGTAGTATTTAGCTGTAATTTAGTATTGAAGTGTGTCTTAAATTATTATGTTAGCTAAAAACTCAACTTACATCACCTTATTGTCAAGATTATATCTACTTTTCTATTAGAGCATTTTTAATGTGGGATATTAAAGATGCCATACCATACAATATTTCTTGCCCTTGCACACAACCTACAATGTTCCTAATATTCATTGGGCACAATGCCCGAATATATATGCTACTATATCTAGATATTGTGATTCGAAAAGAAAAAAATTTCCACACCTAAAGCACGCACCAACAATATGTGTTAAAGTGATGGGCAACATTTGTAAACCACTTATTTTGAATTACACTAGCTACAAAGTTTACATGAATAGAAAAATTGAGAATTTCAATTCTCATATTTATACATGGAAATTGTAAGAGAATAAGTAACATAAAGATCAAAATGCCATCATCATCATCATTCCCAAGCTTGAGAGTTAATTTACCATCACTAATAGTATGTTTTGTTTACGGAATGAATTTTGAGGTAATAGGAATGTTATTCCATAAAGAATGGAATATGCAAGGAATATAATATGAGTTGTATTCTATTGTTTGATTCGCGGAAAGAAAATATGATTTGTTTAGTCTTCCGTAACGAATTCATATGTGAAGGAAATAATAATACGTACTTTCACTCTCATAATCTACAATGCAAAAGTTATTCTTGATTTTCATACAAATATTTTTTTTAAAAAAAAAATACAATTTTCAATCGCTTTCAAGAGTTTAATCCTATTATACAAGCATTAGACAAGTGCTACACGGTTACCCATCATCCTTTTATGAATTTTGAGTTTAAAATGGGGAATTGCAAATTGATGTGGGCATGTAGCCACATAAATGAATATTTAATTTATTGTACAACTTGAATGCTATATGCATTATTTGAATCATATCCACTTAGAACATTGACAGTTTGGATAAGTTCCAAAGCAACCTATACGCACCACATGAATGTTCACAAAGCTACAAAAAGTTGATCACCAACTGATAACAACTAACAAATTAAAGACTCAAATTTGTGAACTTGTGGCAATTAATAAATATCTTCTTCCAAAAGGCTGAACCCCAACCCGACAAAGTATTTGGGAGAATGTAAATCATGGTGACTCAATTGAACATGAACCACTTTGAGAGGTTACTCACACTGCCACTGGCCAAAGTTTCCAAAGTTTCACCTCTATGACCAGTTGAGATACCCATGCGGGCTTAATAAATATCTTCTATATCGCGTTAATGACGTTTAATGGCGAATTTTTGAAGTATTTGACGTTAAAGTTTGTGACTGTTTTTTTTTTTTTTTTTTTTTTTTTTTCATAGTACTAGTTTTGTCCAGGAAGCATTATAGGGGTATTTGGTAAATAGCTGCTTTAGCTGGTAGCTGGTAGTTGATTGTGTTAGTGAGTTTGACTAATTGATAGTAGTTGATAACATTAACTAATTGTAGAAAGATGTTTGATAAATTAAATATGATAGCTGATAGTTGATTGTTTTAGTGAGTTTGACTAATTGATAGTAGTTGATAACATTAACTAATTGTAGAAAGATGTTTGGTAAATTAAATATGATAGCTGGTAGTTGATTGAGTTAGTGAGTTTGACTAGTTGATTAAAATTTGACTAGTTGATAGCAATTTGACTAGTTGATAGCAGTTAATAACATTAAGGGTGTGTTTGGTGAAGTTTAGAAGGAGAAATTCTCCAAAGGTATGAACTTTATATATATACTAGTTTTTTTTATGCGTGATGCGCAAAAGCATATGCTCAATATTTATATTTTTAAAAATAACTAACAAACTCTCTGAAAAGTACGATCTTCCAAATATTGAGCATATGCTTTGAACGATGGAATATAATTTTTATTTGAAAAAGTTTTAGTTGATGGAATTTCTCTCTGAAACGCTCTCTGAATCCCCTTCGGATAATCCTTCAACATCGGCGACGAATCGCCCACCGGAGGATCAGGACCTCCTAGAAAGAAGCACCAAGAAGAACAAAAGAGATCGCGATCAGATGCTGAGTACGAATCAGCCTCAGACATCTTCGATGATCCAAGAAACCCCTTTGGCTGAACCAGGGGCTAACACACCAGAATCAAGTCAGCGTAGAACACCTACGGCGATCCCTAGCCAAGCATGGAATCGGAACATCCCGGTGCAACCCCAGGATGACTATGAGGTATCTGATGATGACGAAATGGATCAAGATGCGGTCTCCTATGAATATCCTGTCATCCGTGTAACAAGAGAAGAGAAGGAAAGGCTTCGCCGCCCTTGGCGTAGGTCTCTGATTCTCCGGCTACTGGGACGCACGGTTAGCTATTCCTATCTACTCCAGAGACTTCAACGGATGTGGAATCCCCAATCTGGATTTCAATTAATTGCCCTAGACCTCGACTATTTCTTAGCCAAATTCGACACCCTCTCGGACTATGAAGCAGCGAAATTTGGGGGACCTTGGATGGTCTTGGACCATTATTTGATTACTCAAGACTGGAGACCTAATTTCAATCCTAGGAAGAATGTCACAGACTCAATATTGGCCTGGGTAAGATTTCCGTCACTACCAATTGAATATTTCGATGATGCCTTCTTGAAGAAAATTGGTAAAGTAATTGGGCGTCCTCTTAAGATCGATTATGCGACGAATCTGGTTTCAAAGGGAAAATTTGCGAGAGTTTGCGTCGAATTGGATATCTCTAAACCTCTACTTTCCAGATTCGTTTTAAATTTTGAAGAATGGCCAATAGAATACGAGGGTATCCATCAAATATGTTTCAAATGCGGAATCTATGGGCATCGTGCAGAAATCTGTGGAAAGGAATAGTCTGGGATAAATGGCAATGACGCCTCTGTCACAAACGAGGACCCCCAACTGGGGACTGCAAGACCTGCCCAGTTGCCCAAGGAAAAATATGGGGCTTGGATGCTAGTTACCAGAAAAGACAGAAGGAAACAAAACAGAGCACCAACTCAACCTGCAATGGCCTTGGGCGGAAACAGGCAGCAAGCCAATCAGCCCACCACAACACCTCAGGCGAATATTTCAACACACTCCCGCTTTGGACCTCTGGATGGCTATGATGATACTTTAAGGGACCAGCAGCAGCAAGAGCAACCTATCTTGTCTCCACCACAACAGCCTAATCTTCCGAGAATTAGGACCAACTATCGACTACCTAGACAGCACACCAGGCAGGTTTCGGAAGAAGAACCCGTACCCGAGGAACAGCCACCACCCCCTAGACAACCTCCACCATCTAACCGTGGCACCTTCAGAGGGTGTGGTGGAAGGGGAAGCCTACCTAATCGAGCAGCAGCTGCGGCCCAACACACTGTTGTCCGTGGAACTAGAAGAGGACAGGACATCCAAACAACTACTGTGTATCACGCCGATGCGCAATCTGAATCCCCCCTGCTCCCCGAATTTGAAAACACATTCAAAGAAGTACCACCGGACGCAAGACATGATCCTACGTTACAACCTATGAATCAACCGGGACCTTCGGGACACTTTGTTTTTGGAAACATCCATAAGGAAGTACCACCTGACTCGACACAGGCAGACCAGGTGTTACCTGATCCTCCCGCGGTGGCTATGCAAAATGTCGAGGATTCTGTTGACCATATTGGTCCTGATGCGGATACCCGCATGTGCCAATAGGCGCTCTTTCACCTTTTGTTATTCATATTTATGAATTTTATAGTTTGGAACTGCCAAGGAGCGGCCTCTAAGTCATTTAGGCGCATCCTGAAACACTTCCTTTCTGTGCACAAGCCTTCTTTCATTTGCCTCCTTGAGCCCAAGGTCTCGGGCCATCAGGCCAACGAGATATGTTTTAGCTTGGGCTTTGATGATTGGGTTAGGGTAGAAGCTTTAGGCTTTTCTGGTGGCATTTGGATCTTGTGGAAAGAGTCTGTGTCCATCGAAGTATTATACACTCACCCTCAATTCATCTCTTTACAGGTGCAAGGAGGGGATTCTGAACCTTGGCTCTTATCAGTAGTCTATGGAAGCCCTAACAAAGATTTAAGGAAACACCTTTTTTTCAGAACTATTTGGACAGTTCTTTGAGCCCTTGGGTCCTTGGCTAATGGTGGGGGACTACAATTCAGTAACTTGTCAGGATGAGGTCAACAACTTGGAAACCTTCTCCTTGTCAAGGTGCACAGATTTTAATCAATGGATCTTCAGAGAAGGGCTTATTGACTTAGGATATGAAGGAACAAAGTATACATGGATGAGGGGAGTTAACACGCCTTCATTCAAAGCAGCCCGCCTGGATCGTGCGCTAAGCAATGTCGAGTGGAGATGCTTATTCCCAAACGTATCAGTCCAACACTTACCCATGATTCAATCAGACCACTCACCCCTCCTGATCAACACCTCTGAGTCACCACAGCTACAGGCAAACAGGAACTTCCGCTTTAATATGGCATGGGCTAGCCACGCCAATTTTCTATCCCTAATCAAGTCGTGCTGGTCGCCTAATCGGACCCTGAATTCCAATAAGAACGCAATGGTAGAGGCTCTCTCGTCATGGAACAAGAACACGTTTGGCAATATATTCCACAGGAAAAGGAGGCTACTGGCTAGACTGGGAGGTATCCAGAGAAGCCTATCGCTGGGGGCGAGATCAGACCTCATTCGATTAGAACGTAGGCTGCGCAAAGAACTCGATGAAACACTACACCAAGAGGAGCTGATTTGGTTTCAAAGATCCCGAGAACAGTGGATAACCTATGGGGACCTTAATACTCGGTTTTATCACTTATCAACTGTTACCAAGGACAAACAACAAAGAGTTAATGTCCTTAAAGATATTGATGGCTCAATTCACTTAGGAGAAGAACCAATCAAGGGTCTATTTCTAAAATACTTTATGCAATTGTTTGAAGCAGACAGTAATTTGACAACAAATCCCCTTCCCCGGGGTCGCTTTCCACCACTAGACATCCAGGACTGGCAGTTTATCAACCAAGCAATCACAGCTGAGGAAGTCAAAACCGCACTCTTCGAAATGAATCCTTGCAAGGCCCCGGGTCCCAATGGGTATACAACAGGATTCTATCAAAAGAC